TCCTCAAGTGGCTGACAAAGCCATCTTAACCCCTGAGGACGGCTGCTCTGCTTCAGTTCCCCTCCGCCCCAACCCTCCTCCTCTGCCGCTTTACTCCTCTGCCCAGAGTGCTTATTTACACGTCCTTGCAACTCCTGTATCTTCTGAATACACCAGGTACCATGTCCTTCAGACGCTGTAACAGTCTCTGTCTCGGGCTGAGCAGTAGCATCCTCATCTCCTTGGAATCCCCAGAACTGGGCCTGGCACGTTTATGGACTCCAAGACATTTTCAAACCTCTCACTTCTGCGCACTCAAATCCCACGAGACAGGAAAATGGTCTGGATGGAGATTACTTGCCTGGGTAGAGTTGTCTTCCAGCCTTTGTAAGCTGTTCAAGTCCACTGTTTAACCACCCTCTGAGCTGAGCCATGGCTGCAATGTCTGGGTACCACACCCAAACTCTTCAAGCTCGCTGGTACCTGCAGCCAGCCAGCTCTCCCATGTTGCTCTCTGTAGGATACTTGAAGACAGGAGGAAAGGAGGACAGAAACGAAGGAATACAGGGGAGGGAAAGAAAGAGATGGAAGAGAGAGAGGGAGGTAGTGAAGTGTCCAGCTTTAGTCCAGATACGAAACCCGATCCTCGCTGATATCCACAAGATAATCACATGCTGTAAACATTTCATTAGCTCAGCATATCTTATCAGCTATGTAGCTCGGCTACGAAGGGTTGCACTGAGCATCTGTCATCACTCTGCCATAGCATATGGAATAGGCCTTTCCCCTTTCCATCTCTCCGCCTTCCTGCCTCTTTATCTAGGAGCCATCGAGCTCCTCCCCTCTCTCATGCAAGGCAATTTAGCAGACACACTGTCATGACTGAGAAGGCCCTTGGGACCTCACCTTCTGCTCCAAGTGTCATTTTAAAGTATTTCACCTAATCAAATGAGCCCTCCTCCTCAGGGGCGTCTGGTGACCAGCACTTTCTCAACCTCATCACTTGCAAGTCCTGTGACTTGGCTATAGATAAATCTTGTACCTCAAGCCCCTAACAAAAAGTGTGGACAATTAGAGCATATGGCTTCCTCAGAGGAAATCATTCCTTGGGCGAGCAAGCTCTCCAGTTCAACTCACAGAATCACTGCCATGCCCAGACAGTGTCCAACACGCATGATGAACTACTGTGTGTGGAATATGGAATGGCTTGAGCATAGTCAGCCTGTCTCACAGGACAAGAAAAAGGTGGCGTGCAGCACTTGGGACTAAAGGCTTGGTGGACCAGAGGCCAGGCAAAATATAAGTGCCATAAGTGGACAGTCCCTTTGGTGGAGGCGGTTTGCTGTTCTAGAAAATGCTTCTGTCTCTCCAGGAAGTGACCATCGCGGCTACATTTCCCACTTTGTCTCTACTTACTTCAGTCCCGGCTTTGTGTCCCCTGCCAGAGTTCATGCATGTAAATGTGATCCCCGGCGTAGTCGCACAGAGAAGCAGGATGGAGACTGGAGCTGAGCCCCGGTGGGTAGAAACATTGACCGAGCAACTCTAAGGACCTGAGTGCAGCCCCTGGGACCGACAAGAAAGCCGCATCCAGCAGTGCGCGTCTGAGATCCCAGCAGCGCTACAACAGATGGGAGGCAGAGTGGGAGAACTGCCCAGAAGCTTACAGGCCAGTCAGTCTTGAGTATAGCAGAAACAGAGGCATGCCTTAGCAAGGTGAAAGGTGAGCTTGACTCCCCGAAGTCATCCTCTAACCTCCAAATGCACACAGTGGCACATAACTTCCGTATCAGGTGTATTTTCCACAAAATTCAGCCAAGGCTACAAAAGTTTCCTGGCCAGCAGGAACCGTAACAGTCCTCCGTCTGGTTCTTGAGGCTTGGAGAAGACACATTCTCTGCCTTGGGCACTGCGAATGTTAGAGAAAGCATTACAGAGATTGCCCGAGGGCATTACAAGTGTAGGATCCGCTCATTTGCTACAGAGTCAAGTCATGGTCTTTAATGAACAAGAGGAGCACATGGCTTTCATACCAAGGCTGACCTGTGAGCTTGTTGGGTTGCTATGCAAGGAGAATGGAGAATCAATCTTTCCAGTCAACCGTGTCTTGAAATGTCCCACTAGCCAGCTCCCAAATAATGACACAGAGACTTATCATTAATTACGGAAGCTCGGCCTTAGCTTGGGCTTGTCCCCACTAGCTCTTATGACTTAAGTTAACTCATTTATTTTCATCTAAGTTCTGTCACATGACTCGTTCCGTCATCTCCCTGTACTACCCATGCTGCTTCCTCCACATCGGGCTGGCGACTCTGCCTTCTTCTTCCCGGAGTTCTCTATCTGCCCGGAGGTCTTGCCAATAACGCCTCCCGCCTCTCTATTGGCCTTTCAGCTTTTCATTATGCCAATCACAGCAATACATCTTCACACAGTGTAGAAATATCCCCCAAGGCTGAAACAGTCTCAGTCTTTGCCGTTAAACAGTCTCTCTAGCTGGGCGGTGGTGGCGCACGCCTTTAATCCCAGCACTCGGGAGGCAGAGGCAGGCGGATCTCTGTGAGTTCGAGGCCCGGCTGGACTGATAGCCTCCAAAACAATACAGAGAAACCCTGTCTTGTAAAAAACAAAAGCAAAACAAAACAAAACAAAACAAACAAACAAAAAAACAGTCTCTCTAAGGGCTGGAGAGGTGACTCCATGGTTAAGAGCACTGACTGCTCTTTTGAGGGCCTGGGTTCAACCCCCAGCACTCACACGGCAGCTCACAACCGTCTGTAACTCTAGTTCAGGGAAACCTGACACCCACTGCTGGCCTCTGCAGGCACTGCGTGTACATGGATCACAGACATACAGGCAGACAATACACCCATACACACAAAATAACATGCTTGTTGTTTCCAAGTATGTGGTCGATTTTTGACCACCTTATATGCCATCCTAGAGCCTTTACCCAATGGCTGATGGAAGCAGAGGCAGACACCCACAGCTAAACACTGAGCTGAACTCCTGGAAACCAGCTGCAGAGAGGGAGGAGAGATGAGCAAAGGGGTCAAGACCAGGCTGGAGAAACCCACAGAAACAACTGACCTGAGCAAGGGGGAGCTCAGGGACCCCAGACTGATAACTGGGAAACCAGCATAGGACTGTTCCAGACCCCCCCCCCCGAACGAGGACGTCAGTTTGGAGGTCTGGTTAATCTATGGGTCCTCTGGTAGTGGATCAGTATTTATCCCTAGTGCAGGAATGAACTTTGGGAGCCCACTCCACACAGAGGGATACTCTCTAAGCCTAGACACATGGGCGAGGGTCTAGGCTCTGCTCCAAATGATATGACAGACATTGAAGATTCCCCCATGGAAGGCCTCACCCTCCCTGGGGAACAGAAAAGGGATGGGTTAGGGGGTCCGTGGGGGGCAGGGGAGGAGGGAAAGGAGAGGGATTCACATGTAAAAGAAGTTGTTTCTAATTTAAATTTTTAAAATGGAAAAAAATGCTTGTTGTTGTTGTTATTGTTTAAGACAGGGTTTCTCTTTATAGCTTTGTAGACCAGGCTAGCCTCAAACTCACAGAGATCCGCCTGCCTCTGCCTCTCAAGTGCTGGAATCACCACTGCCCAATCAAAATAAAATGTTTTAAAACTGAAACCAACCCCTTTTGCATTTCTTCTACTGGCTTAAAACCCTTATATAGGAGTGCGCTGAAGGTTTTAAAATGTTATATAGCCATCTTTGGGGTTTTAATTACCAATGAGAGAATTTCTAAAGCTACCTAGTTGTCCTGTTGTATGTATTAACGTTTACTTGAACATATATGTATTATGACACGAAACAAAAGCATTCCCAAATACAGAGAGTATCACCTAGACATTCAAAATTATATCCACTTCATAGTGGAATGGAATTTGTGTGCTGTGAACAGCAGAAGTCCCATTTCACAGGTAGTGGGAGGAGCAGGGATTCAAGTCGGGGGTGCTTAGGCAGAAAGGAGAGGACCACGGGTGGTGCTGGACCCCGGCAAGTCATTGCTGATGAAGACCTTTGCTTAAACACAAAGTGACTTGTGTTTGCTTCTGTGTTTGGGACTGTTCCATCATCACTTGGCATATAGGAACTAATCTTAGCCTTCCTCCTGTAGATCCCTGCTTTCGAGGGGACCATTTATTCCCCCGCTGTCAGCACAAATGTAAAAATTAGGAACACACCTGACTGCACCTGTACTTACCCGCTTACAGCCACAATTATCCACAAGCGCCCTCCAAAAATGGCAAAAGCTGTTAAGCATGCCTGCAATTAAGTAATTGTGGGCATCATTAGTGGCGTCGTTAGTCGCGTGAGTAACTTTTATGGTCGTCATGGCTACCTCCTGATACAAAATTACCCACCTGACAAGGGAGCACTAGAGCCAATCCCTCCTTTTCCTTTTCCAATTTGTGAAAATTGTGGTTTTATTCCTCCCAGTTATTTCACGCAAGTGAATGGGGCTGTGTTTGCAATATATGCTATTTATGTCAATCCCAAAAGAAATTGTCACTCTGGGGCCTGTGTGTTTTGTTGTTGTTCCCTTTTTCATTTAACATACAACAAAGCAAAGCAAAGTTGTTGCTTTTTGGGGGGGACGACAACTCACTTGTGGTATATAGGTGACAATATAATCTTTCATTTGTATGCTCTGTCCAATAAAAAAAAGCTTCATTTCACACCATAGTTATCATTTCCCAGTGTGAAAATCTGCTACAGGTTTCCAGCCGGAGAGCTTACTTCCCGAAAGAATTGAAATGTTTAGATCCTTTTCTCAGAGCATTTTAAGCTGAAAAGGAAATAGATCCAGAGACCTAGGAAAACAGTTCCTGCTTGAAGACTGATGATCTGTGAGGCTGTCGCTGGGAAATGCACTCTTAATGAATCACCAGCCTGAGAATGAATCATCGTGTTCTGCTAAATCCCAAGATGTATGTGTTCACAGAGTAGAGCAGAGTAGGCAGAGAGATGCATATTTCATATTTACTTATATAACATGCTCAAGGGACTTCATCTAGCAACCAGCGAATCATCCCTTACCAAAGATGTGTTTCAGATTTACCATCCCGAGGTGAGTAGCTAGGCTATCGGTTCCACCGAAGAGCTGAGAATATGAAACTAACAGATGATCTTAAGGTGTGGCTCTCTGTTCACAGGTGGGGGGAAGTTAAAAGAGGATCTCTCATTGCCCGGGATGGCACTGAGTTTGCCAAGCAGCTGAAGAAGACCTTGAAGGCTGGAACCCATTGTCTCTACCTCTAGGGTGCTGTGATTACAGGTGCTTGACTTGGATCTTAGATGTTCCCAGGAAACGTGTGTTAGTGTGTTAAAGGCTTGTTTTTCAGACTGGTGGAACTCTTGGGAGGTGATACAAAATAATGAGAAAATGGAATCTACTGGGGGCTTGGCCTTGAACCTTTAAGGGTACACTGGGACCCAAATGAATAATCATTCTCCTCTCTCTCTCTCTCTCTCTCTCTCTCTCTCTCTCTCTCTCTCTCTCTCTCTCTCTCTCTCTCTCTCTGTCTCTCTCTCTCTGTCTCTGTGTGTGTGTGTCTGCTCTCTCACTCTGTGTGTGTGTGTGTGTGTGTCTGCTCTCTGTGTCTGTCTGCCTGTCTGTCTGTCTGTCTGTCTGTCTCTGTCTCTGTCTCTGTCTCTGTCTCTGTCTCTGTCTTTCTTCTTTACCGGCTACCATGAAGCAAACTGACCTCTGCCGTCATGTGGCTCCCAGCCATAATATCCTGCTATCTCGTGTCAAAGCAATAAGACAAATGCCCACAGACAGAAACCCCTGGAATCATAAGCAACCTTCCATTCATGTTGTTCACCCTGGATGCTTTCCCATGGCAAAGCAAATTTAACACGAGTGACTGGCAGTGCTCAGATTGTCACTGGTCTATTTTATCTCATTTGCCATGGTCGAAAGGAAAGAGTATATCAAACTTTTGACCCTAATTTTGAACACACAAAGAAAGGTCTGCAGAGCGATATTGTCTATAAGTTTAGTGATGATGGAAATTATCTGTTTCTACCATGTCTAATACAGCAGTTGATATTCATGTGTAGCTAGTATGATCTTGAAATTTGACTAGCATGAAGAGAGCTGAATTTCCTGTTTTATTTTCAAATGGTTCATGAGGGTAGGAGCCACCCCATTGTATAATGCAGCTGTAAAATATATGTGGGGGATAGGAAGAGGGCTCAGTCAGTAGAGTGTTTACTTTGTGAGTATGAGGCCCCGAGTTTATTCCCCAGAACCCACATAAAAATTCCAGGTGTGGTGGCATATCTGAATAACCCTAAAGCTGGGAAGAGACGAAAGCACTCCCAGGCTTCATCCCACAGACCAACCAGACTGGCCTACTTGGCAAGTCCAGGCCAGTGAGACACTCTCTCTTAAAAAAATAATAAGTGAATGGCACTCAAGGAAGAACACCCAAGGCTGGCCTCCACACCACACACACACACACACACACACACACACACACATACACACACGCACACGCACACGCACACACGCACACGCACACACGCACACACACACACACATACACAACACCTGCACATACACCTGCATGTACATGGGCATACATATATATATGTATATATGGAGTTGAAGAGATGGCATAAGCATACATTTAAGCAAAACATCACACACATTCAATTTAATATATAATAAGCTTCTCTAACTACTAACTATACAATGTATGATATGGATAAAACATGTCTTTCCTAGTCCATGTTATATTCAAAGAGATCATCTGCTAGTGTGGAACCACTTTGCCTTGGGGGCCATACATACATACATACATAACATTCATACATATATACATATGTATATATATATACATACATACATTCATACATATGTATACACATACATACATATTGTTCATAAAAGAGAAGTGGGAGGAGAAATGTTCTTATGTAAATTAGTACCCTCCTGACTACATTTTCTGGCTGGCCTTCTGTTGCTCTCGTGAAACACTGACCAAAAGCAACACAGCAGAGGACAGCGTTCTCCCCACCTCCTGGGTGTGCATAGTCACAGCAAGGTAACCAAGGGAGGGAGGTGCCCAGGGCAGAAACCTGGATGCAGGAACTGAAGCAGACAGGAGAAAGAAATACAGCTTAGCAGCTTCCTTCCAAACTCACATTCAGCTGCCTTTCCTTCTTTTACACGAAACTATTGTATTACTTTGAGTGCTTTGCCTAGCATGGATATCTGTGCATCACAATGACCATGGTGCCCTTGGAGTCCAGAAGAGAGCACCAGATCCCCAGGATGAGAGTCACTGACAGTAGTGAGTGGCCACATTGGAGTTGGGACTCAAACACACACATGTATGAATACACCACAGCAGATGGGTGGGAGTCACGTTGGTGTTGGGACTCAAACACACATGTATGAACATACCACAGCAGATGTGGTCCATTCCAGCCTTCTATTGTGTGGGTCCCAGAAAACAAGTTCACATTCTCAGGCTTGGTGGCACTTAAATTTACTACTGAGCCATGTTTCTGCCCCCATGGGTTCTTGTCTTAACAGAAAAACTCCAAGCTAGTGCCTGCTCTAAGAAAGTAGATTCAGGTTTCCACAAGAGTCATCTTGGTTTAGGATTTCTGAGATCTCTTGCCTCTACTTTCTGTAAAGGGAAGCCTTCCCACCACCTGGTTCCAGAGCCGCATCAGTCCCAAATGAACACACAGGAGGCTATATTAATTATGAAGCTGTTGGCCTTGCTTGTTTCTTACTGGCTAGCTCTGACTTAAGTATTTACCCCATTATTATTAATCTAAGTATTTCTCTTACTGGAGAGGTTTCCGGACTTCTTATCCCTATGGCAGTTACATCTTGACTCTCTGTGTTTCTCCTTCCCAGAGTCCTCCTGGACTCCTAGCCCCACCTACCTTGCTTCCCTATTGGCCAACAGTGCTTTATTGACATATACACAGGACTTCCCCAACAACTTTCTTAAGTGCTGGTTTCAGTCATGACTTCTAAAAGGAAGTGATATGACAGCAGCAGGCCAAGTCCACTAAACTCTTCAGCCTACCTTCAGGTTAGAGGGTCCGGAGGCGTCTAACAAACACAGGTTGTCTGGAACAACTAACTCTACTGAAGGCCAAAGTCCCCACTGCTGCCCAGAGTTGTCTCAGGCTCCGCTGAGGCATGGGGACTAAGGATGAGAAGGGGGAGTCTCCAGGGGAAAGCTGAGTAGTTCTCAGAGAAAGGTGAGCTGATTGATGAACTCACAGATGGCCTCCAGCACCCTGCCTCCTAGTGTGAAAGACAAGAGCCTGGACTGGGAGAAGACATAGCAGAAATAGATCCAAATCAACTCATCTCAACCAATGTGCCCCACGACCATCCAGGGGGCTTCTAATTCGGAGGAGATGCTTGTGGCAGCCGTGAAAGGGTACCTCGTTGTAGAACTGTGTCTGTTTTCCACCTCATAGTACCATATTTACAAGGGGGTGGTAGAGATGTACTCTGATGGATAGGGAGCCCAGACATACACCCACACGAACAGAGCCACCAGACCTTTGACAAAGGAATATACGAATTTTAGGGGAGAAAACACTGTCTTCCCAATGAGATACTGAAATCATTGGATATCCATATGGAAAAACATTATCTAGACCCAGATCTTATGCCTTTTACTAAAATTAGCTCGAATTAGATCAGACACCTAGGTGTGAAACATATTTCATATACAGCAGCCCAGAGTTGGTATTTTCCACCAGGTGGTTTTTAGGATCTGTGCTAGGAACGGGCAATAATAGTTCTTGTTTCTGTTTGATGAGGTAACTAGACAGACAGAGGCGGCAAAGGTCACGTGCCCTTGCTGATGACGCCACTAGAAAACCCTTGGCACATTGTGCTGCTTGGCCCTCCTTTCGTGCCCCGCGCCACCCCTGCTACTCAGCAAAGAAAGGACAGACTGGGCAACAGAAAGCTTGTTGCTCCTTCACTCTCTGTAACACGGCTATTGGTACCAGAGTCTTAGGGCAGGAGCTCCAAAGCTAGAAGTTGCAAGGGACTATACTTGGCCAGTAGTTCATCCGGATTATTGATTAAAAGCCAGGGAGAGCAGATTCAATCAGTGTGACTGCATTGGGAAGTACAGATATAGGGGCTCAGGGACGCTAAGTCAGTGTCCAATGTGCTGGCCTGGGCTCGAGACTTAAATAAGGGGGAAAACTGAGATGGGGGATGGGGAACGTGTAGTCAGCAGTCTTATTCCAGGTGTGGCCTGGCTGACAGTTGTCCTCATTCTAGCTCCTTAAGGTGGCTCAAAGAAGCCATTGTCGCTGTCATCACACGGCTGGTGCCTCTGATTCCCGCACAGAGATGATCACCACACCTTTAATCCAAACACTCTCCAGGCAGAGGCAGGCGGGCCTCGGTGAGCTCAAGGCTCTGCCCAGGGCAGTGCTGTTTTTGGTCTGATAATTAGTCATAGGCCACCTTCACCTTTGTGTGCCTGGACCTGTTTTAGTTAGCCTTGGGGAGGAAGGGGGCAGGTTTAGCCTGACTCCTTGCCAACAGGTGTCTGCCCGGTGCCAATGGTGTGTCCTGTTCTTCTGCCTCCAGGTGACTGCAGGTCTAGGACAGTGGCTGACAGAAGGTGCTTCTTTGTGACTTTGGCCTTGAAAGGGTTGGGAGAAGTTAAGTGCCGCCAGTTTCTAGATAGATTTTCATTGAGAGACTAGCAATCCTCCACGCAAAGACAAACACAGACGGCTGACATGAAGAGGAAGAAGGCAGGCACACCAGGATTTTACCTTTTTGTTACCTGGTGAGCCCAAACGAGGAACCAGAACTCCTCAGCAAAAAGCAGTTATACCACAGCTGCTTAAATTTTTCCACTAGCAGAAAAACCCTGCCTTGGAAAAAAAATGTTTCCCTAGCAAACCCCCTTTGCTTTCTTTACATGAATCCAGGTATACACGTGCATAAACTAGCTAGGAAAACGAGACATTTACTAAATCATAAGGAATTCGTTTGGAGCAGCTCTTGGGCGTACATTTGATTTGACTGGTTTGTTTTTGTTTGTTTGTTTTGTTTTTTGTTTTTTTGGTTTTTCGAGACAGGGTTTCTCTGTATTGTATTGAGGCTGTCCTGGAACTCACTCGGTAGACCAGGCTGGCCTCGAACTCCTCGAACTCACAGAGTTCCGCCTGCCTCTGCCTCCCGAGTGCTGGGATTAAAGGTGTGTGCCACCAATGCCCGGCTCGTGATTTGACTGTTAAAGCAGAGTTCCGTGTTGTGGAATGTTAGGTTTTGAACCTGGGATAAATGGCTGAGGTAC